GTGATAGTGTAGGTGGTGGTAGTGAAGTGTGGTGGTGGTAGTGATAGTGTCGGTGGTGGTAGTGATAGTGTAGGTGGTGGTAGTGATAGTGTAGGTGGTGGTGGTGATAGTGTAGGTGGTGGTGGTGATAGTGTAGGTGGTGGTAGTGATAGTGTGGTGGTGTGTGATAGTGTAGGTGGTGGTAGTGATAGTGTAGGTGGTGGTAGTGAAGTGTAGGTGGTGGTAGTGATAGTGTAGGTGGTGGTGTGATAGTGTAGGTGGGTGGTAGTGAAGTGTAGGTGGTGGTAGTGATAGTGTAGGTGGTGGTAGTGATAGTGTAGGTGTGGTAGTGATAGTGTAGGTGGTGGTAGTGATAGTGTAGGTGGTGGTGGTGATAGTGTAGGTGGTGGTAGTGATAGTGTCGGTGTGGTGGTATGAAGTGTAGGTGGTGGTGTGATAGTGTAGGTGGTGGTAGTGATAGTGTAGGTGGTGGTGGTGATAGTGTAGGTGGTGGTGGTGATAGTGTAGGTGGTGGTAGTGATAGTGTAGGTGGTGGTAGTGATAGTGTAGGTGGTGGTAGTGATAGTGTAGGTGGTGGTAGTGATAGTGGTGGTGGTGGTAGTGATAGTGTAGGTGGTGGTAGTGATAGTGTAGGTGGTGGTGTGATAGTGTAGGTGGTGGTAGTGATAGTGTCGGTGGTGGTAGTGATAGTGTAGGTGGTGGTAGTGATAGTGTAGGTGGTGGTAGTGATAGTGTAGGTGGTGGTAGTGATAGTGTAGGTGGTGGTAGTGATAGTGTAGGTGGTGGTAGTGATAGTGTAGGGGTGGTGTGATAGTGTAGGTGGTGGTAGTGATAGTGTAGGTGGTGGTAGTGATAGTGTGGTGGTGGTAGTGATAGTGTAGGTGGTGTGTGATAGTGTAGGTGGTGGTAGGTGATAGTGTAGGTGGTGGTAGTGATAGTGTAGGTGGTGGTAGTGATAGTGTCGGTGGTGGTAGTGATAGTGTAGGTGGTGGTAGTGATAGTGTAGGTGGTGGTAGTGATAGTGTAGGTGGTGGTAGTGATAGTGTCGGTGGTGTAGTGATAGTGTAGGTGGTGGTAGTGATAGTGTCGGTGGTGGTAGTGATAGTGTAGGTGGTGGTAGTGATAGTGTACGGTGGTGGTAGTGATAGTGTAGGTGGTGGATAGTGATAGTGTAGGTGGTGGTGGTGATAGTGTAGGTGGTGGAGTGATTAAGTGTGTAGGTGGTGGTGTGATAGTGTAGGTGGTGGTGTGATAGTGTAGGTGGTGGTAGTGATAGTGTAGGTGGTGGTAGTGATAGTGTCGGTGGTGGTAGTGATAGTGTAGGTGGTTGGTAGTGATAGTGTCGGTGGTGGTAGTGATAGTGTAGGTGGTGGTGTGATAGTGTAGGTGGTGGTAGTGATAGTGTAGGTGGTGGTAGTGATAGTGTAGGTGGTGGTAGTGATAGTGTAGGTGGTGGTAGTGATAGTGATAGGTGGTGGTAGTGATAGTGTCGGTGGTGTAGTGATAGTGTAGGTGGTGGGTAGTGATAGTGTAGGTGGTGGTAGTGATAGTGTAGGTGGTGGTGTGGATAGTGTAGGTGGTGTGTAGTGATAGTGTAGGTGGTGGTAGTGATAGTGTAGGTGGTGGTAGTGATAGTGTGGTGGTGGTAGTGATAGTGTAGGTGGTGGTAGTGAATAGTGTAGGTGGTGGTAGTGAAGTGTAGGTGGTGGTAGTGATAGTGTAGGTGGTGGTAGTGATAGTGTAGGTGGTGGTAGTGATAGTGTAGGTGGTGGTAGTGATAGTGTAGGTGGTGGTAGTGATAGTGTAGGTGGTGGTAGTGATAGTGTCGGTGGTGGTAGTGTAGTAGTGTGTGTAGTGGTGTGGTGGTGATAGTGTAGTGTGGTGGTGTAGTGATAGTGTAGGTGGTGGTAGTGATAGTGTAGGTGGTGGTAGTGATAGTGTGGTGGTTGGTTAGTGATAGTGTAGGTGGTGTTAGTGTAGTAGTGGTGATGTGATAGTGTAGGTGGTGATGTGGATAGTGTAGGTGGTGGTGGTAGGAGGTGGTGGTAGGTAGGTCGGTGGTGGTAGTGATAGTGTAGGTGGTGGTGTGATAGTGTAGGTGGTGGTGGTGATAGTGTAGGTGGTGGTAGTGATAGTGTAGGTGGTGATAGTGATAGTGTAGGTGGTGGTAGTGATAGTGTAGGTGGTGGTGGTGATAGTGTAGGTGGTGGTAGTGATAGTGTAGGTGGTGGTAGGATAGTGTAGGTGGTGTAGTGATAGTGTAGGTGGTGGTGTGATAGTGTAGGTGGTGGTGGTGATAGTGTAGGTGGTGGTAGTGATAGTGTAGGTGGTGGTGGTGATAGTGTAGGTGGTGGTAGTGATAGTGTAGGTGGTGGTAGTGATAGTGTAGGTCGTGGTAGTGATAGTGTAGGTGGTGGTGGTGATGTGTAGGTGGTGGTAGTGATAGTGTAGGTGGTGGTAGTGATAGTGTAGGTGGTGGTAGTGTAGTGTAGGTGGTGGTGTGATAGTGTAGGTGGTGGTGTGATAGTGTAGGTGGTGGTGTGATAGTGTCGGTGGTGATAGTGATAGTAGTGTATGCGATGATAATGGCAGGTAGTGTTAATGATAGTAGTGAGGGTGGTAGCGGCGGCGGCGGCGGCGGCGGCGGCGCGTCTGGTGTACTCTTCCATGTGGCAGTATTAAAGTGGACTTTGCCGCCTCTGAAGTTACTTCGGTAACGGGTTCCCACGAGTGGAGGAGGAGGATGGAGGAGGAGGATGGATGGAGGGAGGGAGGGAGGGGATGGAGTAGTGGTGGAGGTGATGGTGAAGGAAGTTAAGGCGCCTCTGGGTTGCTGGTCCTGTTGGAGAAGCAACACCTTCCAACCCCCCCTCTTCCCCCTCCCACCCCCCTCTTCCCCCTCCCACCCCCCTCTTCCCCCTCCCACCCTCCACTTCCCCCTCCTACCCCCCTCCTAGCACACCAAGACCCGTGGCTCGATTGGTAGCGTACTCAGCTCACATACCGAGTGACCGTGGTTCGATCTCCGGCACGAGTACAAACGCTGGACATTGTTTCCATATACCTGATATCACTGTTCACCTAGTAATAAGTAGGTACCTGGGTGTTAGTCACCTTACACCTGTTGTCCCTGTTCACTTAGTAGTAAATAGGTACCTGGGTGTTAGTTGACTGGTGTGGGTGGCATCCTGAGGGAGAATTAGTGCACCTTAGACAGGGATGGGCTTTGAAATTAGCTAAGGTAAGATAAAAGCTCTTAGTCTGTAAAATTTAGTAGTGAGAGAGATTTTAGCTTGTCAATAAAGTTAGGAATATTTAACCCGTAAATAGCTTGTCAATAAAGCTAGGGATCCTTAACCTAACCTGGTGGGTGTGAGTTGGACCTGACTAGCTTGTGCTACTAGGCCTGATGCGGTGCTCCAACTATAAGTAAAACCCTCTGTTCTTACTCTAGTGGATATATTAGTTAAATGCTTCACTTTTAACCTATTCTAAGACTTAGTTCATTCTGCCTTAATTTCCATGTTTTATTTTTAAATCCTCACCATTCTTTTAAGTGCCTTATACTTATCATGGAGAGTGATTTCTCAAGCAGTGGTTAACTTTTGTCTCTTTCTAGCTTGGAGTGTCAGCTTGGGTCATCTGGCAGCCACAGACACAGTGCTCAAGGAAATGAACTTCACACGAGTTCTGGGACGTCACAATTTTATCTAAGTGTAGCCAACCCCAGGCAACTACCTCTCATCTTGGAAGTGAAGGACCTACGTTCCTATCATCTTGACGGATTATTCGAGGCTAGAGACACTGTGACCAACTAGTCGTTAGGTTGAACATTAAAATGGTATAAAATACCGACAGATTGTTAGGTAAGACACATATGCAACAGTTAGGTATCTTTATTTCGAAATGTTTCGCCTACACAGTAGGCTTCTTCAGTCGAGTACAGAAAAGTTGATAGAAGCAGATGATGGACTTGAAGACGATGTAATCAGTCCATCATCTGCTTCTATCAACTTTTCTGTACTCGACTGAAGAAGCCTACTGTGTAGGCGAAACGTTTCGAAATAAAGATACCTAACTGTTGCATATGTGTCTTACCTAATAGTCGTTAGGTTGTCACTCAGCTGTGACCCCCCCCCACATCATCAGCAACAGCTATAATTTCTACAAGGCGCGGTGTCAACATCAACCAGACACCACAGTCTAACTGTACATATTAGCGTTGAATTCAAATATCATTTTTATATTTCATTTTTCATTTCTGTTTCACGTAGGATAAAATTCATATTTAAATGTTCTATATTTTCAATTATAACAATAAAGTGTTTATATCTGTATGTTATTATTCTTTTTCTATTCATTAATTTTCCTAAGTAGGAGCCAGCCTTGGTAAGACCAACTTAAGATCTAACAGGGCTGAGTAAGCCTTCACATGACCTGACTAGGTGGGTCATTAGGCTAATCAGGGGAAGGGGACATGAATCTGCTTCGCACAGGTCGGTAGGCCTGTTGCAGTGTTCCTTCTTTCTTATGTTCTTATGTAACCTTGTTAAACCCTGAGTATATAAAAAAATGGAATAACAGAACAATGAAAAAAAACAGTGTCTGAAAGGGCAAGAGAAAACTAAGGTAATCTCCTAGTATAGATTTAGTGATGGAAAAGCCTTTCTCGCAAATTTTCTGGAAGTGTATGACAGAGTTGCAAGGTAAAACAAGAAAGAGAGGGCTGGGTAGACTGCGTCTTCCTGGACTGCTGGAAAACATTTGATACAGTACTACACCAGAGATTAATTCAGAAATTGGAGAAACAGGTAGGTACTAGGAAGAGTGCTCCGGAAACTTGATACAGTGGCGTGGATGGTGATTTCCCTGAGACAGAGACTTCCATGGTAGCGTGCATGGTGACTTACCTGAGACAGAGACTTCCATGGTGGTGTGGATGGTGACTTCCCTGGCTAACTTGAGACAGACACCTGATGGTAACGTGGATGGTGACTTACCTGAGACAGAGACTTCCATGGTAGCGTGGATGGGAACGTTGGTGTTGAGTGAGGGAGAGAGGGTGATCTCTCCGGAGTCCTTATGAATGTCCACCAGCCCCGCCTTGTTACCACTGATGATGTGGTACGTCAACTGCAACACAAGACAACAACACCTCTTTAGTGCCTCCGTCTGCGACACATTCATCACACACCAGACGCAACACGAAACACTCCACGCAACACACACCAGACTTAACAAAACTTACACCACAAACACACCCAGAAAAAACACTCAATACTCGTAACAGTCTATGGAACACACTGTACAAAACAGTCTTACACTTTTCATATACCTCTGAAGAGTTTCGAGAGTTTTGCAAATCCCGCAGCCCAGCCTGGGCCAGGCTCGTCTGGCACTTGGTAGAGGTACTTGTCCAGTTTCCTCTGGAAAACTTCTACACTTGTCCCAGCAGTGTTTCTCAAATCTTCTGGTAATATGGTAAATAGTCTGGCACCACGAATGTTGATAAAATGTTCTCTTATTGTGCCCACGGCACCCCTACTTTTCACTGGGTTTGTTACATTTCCTACCATATCTCCCACTCCAGTATGTTATGGAAGTGTGGATATCAGGGACAAGGCCAGTATATATTATCATGCATCTCTCTTACACTCCAGTGAGTATATATTTAGTATTTTAAGGTGTTATAAGTAATTTAAATACTTTATTGGCACTATGCGACCGTATACGATCTCTGTTTATGTTTCAGCTCTGATATCTTTCCTGCCCTGAACAGGGCCGTCATCTTAGCTATCGTGAAATTTGATTTGTGCTGTTAGGTAAGACACATATGCAACAGTTAGGTATCTTTATTTCGAAACGTTTCGCCTACACAGTAGCTTCTTCAGTCGAGTACAGAAAAGTTGATAGAAGCAGAAGAGACTTGAAGACGATGTAATCAGTCCATCACCCTTGAAGTTTTGAGGTGGTCAGTCCCTCAGTCTGGAGAAGAGTATTGTTCCATAGTATGAAACAATATGGAGTTGAAGTGACAGGATGGAGCCTTATATAGCGCCAGGAGGTGAGACGTAGGTCACTAGTAGGGGTAAGAACGTAGAACAATACTCTTCTCCAGACTGAGGGACTGACCACCTCAAAACTTCAAGGGTGATGGACTGATTACATCGTCTTCAAGTCTCTTCTGCTTCTATCAACTTTTCCGTATTCGACTGAAGAAGCCTACTGTGTAGGCCAAACGTTTCGAAATAAAGATACCTAACTGTTGCATATGTCTTACCTAACAACCTGTCGGTATTTTATACCATTTTAATGTTGATTTGTGTTCTTTGAAAGTGAGAACAGTTGATATGATTACTCCCAGGTCTTTCACTTGTGCGTTTTGTTCTATTTAATGATTCTCTTGTGCTTTGTCAACACACGCTGTCAGCACACAAGAGTCAGCTCAGGTAAAAAATAAAGCTTGCAAGACTGGCAATAAGCTGACATGTTACAAATCAAGGAGACGTACACCTGTGCTGTACCTGTGACAGAGCTTTGCTACCATGGAAGCCTGACCTGGGATCACGGAATGGAGGAGCGAACCTGCAACATTCCCAGTGCCCAATGAACCATAGTGCGACTCTAGGAAACTCTATTAAAGACATGGCTTTTTGTTAAGTCAGTAGAGTGTAAACTGTGTAAGTGCATGAAGGAAGTCAGGTGAGGAACTCAGGTGTGGAACTCTGTGTGGAACTCTGGTGTGGAACTCTGGTGTGGAACTCTGGTGTGGAACTCTGGTGTGGAACTCTGGTGTGGAACTCTGGTGTGGAACTCTGGTGTGGAACTCTGGTGTGGAGAAAGACAACTTCATGGTCGGCCAGCAGTGAATGCTTCGCCCAGAAGGTGTTGTCAGAGTCTTGGCTAACAGAACGCTTGCTTTGTTTGGAACAAAAGTTTAGGAAGTTGTACAGAGGGCGGTTCCTAAACACTTTCTCTAGAATTTGTCGACCTCTTCAGCGACAAGTTTATCCTGGGTCTACTTCTTCAAGTGCCAGAGTTACGCTGAGCATCACAAGTGTTATTCAAAGTGTCTCGTCAGTGGAAGCAAGTTTATGTTCATTTAAGTTCTCTGACAAGTTTCTGTCAGTTTCCCCGAGGTAAATTTCACGACAAACTCCACAAGAAATGACTTAAACCCAGACAGTTTCTTCTTGAAAAAACTAATGGACTGAAGACATCGACTCCAAGCTGAGGAACTGATTACCTCAAACTTCTCCTCTTTTTCCACCGTTCTTCTTCGTACTGAACTGAGGAAACCACTGATTGGCGAAACGTTTCCACAGTTAAGATATCCAAGTGTTGGACAAATGTCTTATTCATCATACTGTTGGCTCTCCGAACCATTATCTACAAGTTGTTACGAGGATGTTATAGATGGCCAGGTTGAGGAGCTATGATCAGGACATCATCGATGTGTCTTCAACACGGGATCTTCGGAACGTTGTAAATAAAGTTATATCTCCATATACTCCGTGCAAATATTGACTAGAATCTTATTAAGAGATTAACTCGTTGTCATGTTGTTTAAACCATTCAGAACATAGTCAGAGTCCAGGTTCTGGATAGTTCACTACTTCCCTGTCCCTACCTACCCTCACTGCCTCCTCTGTCTCTCCCTGCCTCTCCCTACCCTCACTGGCTCCTCTATCTCTCCCTGCCTCTCTCTACCCTCACTGCCTCCTCTGTCTCTCCCTGCCTCTCCCTACCGTCACTGCCTCCTCTATCTCTCCCTGCCTCTACCTACCCTCCCTGCCTCCTCCATCTTCTCACCTTTCCTCCATCGTCTCCCTGCCTTTATCATCGCCTCTCACCCCCTGCCTCTCTTCCTATACACCCTCCCTCTTCCTCCACCATCCACTCCACTACCCTACTTCCCTATTCTCCCTCCGTACACCCTTCCCCCCTATCTTCCCCTCTTTTATCTCCCCTTAGCTTCTAATTACTACAACCTTTTGTTCTCTATTGTATCGCTATGGTGATGGTAGGAAGGTTGTAGTGGTGATGGTGGGGAGATTGTAGTGGTGGTGGGGAGGTTGTAGTGGTGTTGATGATGGTGGGGAGATTGTAGTGGTGGTGGGGAGGTTGCAGTGATGGTGGGGAGGTTGTAGTGGTGATGGTGGTGGTGGAGAGGTTATAGTGGAGTGGTGGGGAGGTTGTAGTGGTAATGGGTGGCTACACAACACCATCGTGATGGTAATAATGGTGGTGATAGTGGTAGATAACATACCACCATCGTGGTCTGAATCACTAACTACCCGCCAGCCTGGTTCCAACGGTAACAGTAGTAGTGGTGGTAGTGGTAGAGGTGGTAATAGTTGTAGTGGTAGAGGTAGTGGTGGTAGTGGTGGTAGTAGTGGTGGTAGTAGTGGTAGCAGTAGTGGTAGCAGTAGTGGTGGTAGAGGTGGTGGTGGTGGTGGTGGTGGTGGTGGTGGTGGTGGTGGTGGTGGTGGTGGTGGTGGTGGTGGTAGTAGTAGTGGTAGGCCACAGACCACCATCGTGGTATGAATCACTAACTACCCACCAGCCTGGTTCCAACGATCAATAAGAGTACTCTCACCGTCCACCTGTGTACTCAGTCACTGCTGCTAGTGCTGGGTTGACACACAGCTCCTGGCCCAGCCTCACACACACACACACACATGGACAAGACACAGCTTCTGGCCCTGCGTCACATACACAGGGACGAGACACAGCTCCTGGCCCCGCTTCACGCACACAGGGGCAAGACACAGCTCCTGGCCCTGCCTCACACAAGGTCAAGCCACAGCTCATACCTAGTCTTGAAGCTGTGCACTGGGCTTGCCCTCACCACCTCTTCCTAGATCACCTTTAAAAAAAGTAATTCCTAACATCTGTGTGTCTGTACTTCACAGACACATAGATGTCTACGTCTGTACCATGTATGTCGTGATCATGGCTCCCCCAATACGTCTCTCATTCAGTGCTGTTAGGTTCAATTCCTTCACTCTCTCAGTTCTGAGACTAGTTTTATCGTGAACCTTTTGACTTTTTCAACATCCTTAATATGTTTCACCAGGTCGAGGGTTCTATGAAGGTGCTCTGGTAGCTCACACCAGAACCTTGGTAGCTCACACCAGAACCTTGGTAGCTCACACCAGACCCACGACCACCACACACCTGCAACAACCTTGACTAAGTACTATAACATCCAGGAGGGATCATTGCAAGCAGTGATCAATACCTGGACGCTCACCTAACCATTACCTGTCCACCACCACCTACACCTGTCCACCACCAACACCTGTCCACCACCACCTACACCTGTCCACCACCAACACCTGTCCACCACCACTACCTACACCTGTCCACCACCCACACCTGTCCACCACCACTACCTACACTTGTCCACCTACTTGCATCCTTAATCACCTACACTTGTACACCACCAAAGAGAGAGAGAGAGAGAGAGAGAGAGAGAGAGAGAGAGAGAGAGAGACAGAGAGAGAGAGAGAGAGAGAGAGAGAGAGAGAGAGAGAGAGAGAGAGAGAGAGAAAGGCCATAGATGGATGATGAAAACTGAGACAAAATATGGGCCCAAGAGAGCAGTGACTCGACCTCCCCCTCACCACCACTTGGCAAGCACAGAATCGATAAGTACACAAGAAGATGAACAACATCCTCCCTCTATTATTTACAAACTAAGCAGAGTACAGTAGCTGTCTACTATATCCTCCTCCACACAAGCACACACATCACCCTCTTAGCTAACACTTAACACCCTCGCCTCTACCTCTCTCTCTCTCACTCCCCTACAATCTCCCCGCCCCTCAATACACACACTGGAAGTTGAAAACTTAGATGAGTCATAGGGACGTTAGGAAGTACTTTTTCAGTCATAGAGTTGTCAGGAAGTGGAATAGTCTGGAGTGATGTCGTGGAGGCAGGATGCATATTTAGCTTTAAGAAGAGGTATGATAAAGCTCATGGAGCAGGGAGAGAGTGGACCTAGTAGCGACCAGTGAAGAGGCGGGGCCAGGAGCTGCGAATCGATTCCTGTAACCACAAATAGGCGAGTACAAACAGGTGAGTACACACATACACACACACACACAAACATACACACACACACA